ATTAAGGCTTTGAAAGCTTCTCCTAGACTTATATCGGAACCCTCAGCCGAAGAATCAGAAGAGTATCCTCTCTTAGTTCTGCTAGCAATTTGATCGATAATTTGCCAACCACATTCATCCTCAGACGAGGAAACATAACCTAAGCCTCTCCCGTATTTATAATAATCGTCAGGTTTCCCTTTTGGTACATATACTGCTTTGGCTGGATTATGAGGACTTCGATCGAAGTATAGACCTTCTCAAAGTGTGAAATCGTACCCCTGCTTTTCCATGAGCTTGCGCACTTCTGGACTATACTTAGATAGATGTCGACCAGGTTTGTCATCATCTTCATCTTCGCTTAAGAAATGGTGTGGTAATGGGGAACTTTTTCCTTTACCGTAAATCACTTCTTTAGCGCCTCCTATTTTGTTCGGGATAACCATGGTTGTTCCGAAAGAATGCTGGAGGCATTCCTTTGTTACATAGGACGATCGGATCGGCATATACAACTCAGGATTGTCATACAGCTCTTTTATCACGTCATCAAGGGACCAGGAGTACTCTAAATCATATTTTATTTCAATATCGGCAAGCTGCCAGTTACAACCTCCGTCTGACGATTGTTCATCGTCAAGATTGATTACAAAGGGTACAATGTCATTAGAAACAAAACCACCATCGTAATCGAATCCGGCTTTAGAATCAGCTTCTTCTCCGCTGTCTGTGCCCTGGGCCGATGGTTCAGTATCAGATTCATTACCATAAAGGAGAGAATCGGTGAAATAATTCTCATACCCTTTGAATGGTTGCTTATCCGCGACCACTGTCCTAACCTCATTGTCAGTGTCGACATACTTCAAACACTGATGGAGAGTAGAGGGAATTATAACATTACTATGGATCCAAGGTCGACCCAGTAGTAAGTTGTACGAAGTCTCGGCATCGATCACATAGCACGTGACTTCTGTCTTCAAATCCCCCATTTGACACTTTACCCGGATCTTACCCAAGGGTCTTGACCCACTAGTGTTGAATCCGTAGATAACAGTGCCTGTAGACGCCAACTTGCTAACTGGAATACCGAGGAAATGCAACAAGCGAAGCGGCATAATACTCACAGCAGAACCCGGATCCACTTGGATTCGGTTGACTTTGCTGGAGCCAATGTACCCGATGAAATATAGCGGTCGATCATGGTTCGAATTCTTCGTCTGCATATCCTCTCTGGTGAAAGTAATGCAGGGAAGGTTCTTTGTCGCTATGTTGCATTGTTGACTCAGCGGTTCTGGATTTTCAGACACCGGCTTGACTTGAGTCAGAAACACCTCTGAATTGGCCAAAGCTTCTTGCAAGGCCTCCCTGGTTTCCTTGGACAACCGCAACAACTCATACAGCGTTATCCGTGCTGGAATGTTGGCTAGTTGAGCTATTATATCGAAGACTTGCGGAGTCTTCGAGCTTTCCAGTTTGTCTCTTCCAATCGAGTGGCTGAAACGAGACTGCTTCGGATTCTACACCTCCTGGGGATTCTTCTCCTTTGGTTTATTCACCGGTTGTCGTAGAGCTTCTTTACCTGGTGTGGGACTCGTGATCACCCCCAACTCTGTGAGAGTCTTGGCTGGCCCCCGTTTGTTCACCCCCTGTTCACTAAGTGGCGGATAGTTGTAGTGATATTCATTTCCGCTTCGGGTTGCAAAAACTTCTTGTTCTTCTTCAGAGAGCGGGAAAGCTATGATTCCTTCGTCATCTTCTCCTGGGATAGCAGAGACTCCACAGCATGACTTTCCTTTCTCTTTGGACTTCTTCTTGGATGACGCTCCAGCCCATTGTTCATCTTCAATCAGATCGGGGTGAACCCAGAGGATTTCTCCGTTTGGGGCTGTATGTGGCACAAGCCCTTTTTGGCGCTGTCCTTGTGGGTCATCATTCACCGTCTTCATTCCCACCTTGGTGACGCGTTTCGGCTCGAACCATGTTGTGGGCACCGATCCGAAACTGATCGACACTGCGTTTGCTCCCACATTCTTGGCAGGCTTCGGGGTTATGACACCCACATAAATTAGTGCCTGGATCTTGTCCTTGAGGTGATAGCAAGACTTTGTAGGGTGATGGACCGCTCTATGGTATGCGCAATACTTCGGATCCGTCACCTTGTTTGCTCCTTCTTGATCCACGATTGCCGGCAGCTGAATCTTGTTGTTTTCTAGCAGGTATTTGAAGATGCCAGGAACTTCGTCATCCTTGAAGGAGTACACTTTAGGAAACCTCGGCTCCGTAGATTTCTGCTTTTGAGGCCGTTGTTTCCATTGCCCTCGAGATTGTTGCGGTGCTTGTTGCTGTGGCTGTTGCTGAGGTTGCAGTTGGAAAGTTTGATTAGCATCAACTGCATTAGCATGTGCCTTACCTTTCCCCCGTGGGACGAAATTCTGCTTTGGAGCATTCGTCGCCTTGAGGAATCGCTCAGCTTGCTCTCCCCGGACTTTCAAGTCCTTCCATGTCTTGGATGGTGCTGTCCCCATTGCTTCCAGCACGTCCAATGTGAGGTTGTTGTGGCAGGTCTGGAGGATGAATTCCTCGGTGATCGGGTCCCGGCAATTCATCACCTTGTTCCGGAATCTTTTGACGAAGGTGTTGACTAACTCTCCGTCCTTCTGCTTCTCATCGAGCAACGATCCGATAGATACTTCGGTGTCGTCGTCGAAGAAATTGGCAAGGAACTTGGTCTCCATGTCGTCCCAGCTATTTACGCTGCCTGGCTTGAGGCGGCGATACCAATCGAAGGCGGCTCCGCGAAGAGTGCCGACGAATGACCGCACCATCAGAGGCTCATTACCAGAGATGACTCCCAAGTGCGATTTGAAGTAAATCAAATGCTGAGTGGGTGAACCCATCCCATTAAACGGCGTGAAGTTAATTAGACTGAACTTCGCCGGATATGGGATTGATTCCCACTCTCTTGGGTATGGACAAGGAATGCCCGTCTTTTTCGTCTCTTGAGCGGAAATCAACGTATTGATTTTACTCTCGAGATTTTTAATCTTCAAGCTTTCATCTGTGTTTTCGCTAGCATTCTCGTTACCACCCCCTGTATTGACGGGAGGATTATTGGTATTACGAGCTTCATTCGTATCCTCGTCTTCCAGATTAACCGGGTTACGACGACTTGGCTCGCCTTGCTGGTTCGTCAATGCTTGGATTTGTTGGTCATGCATTTCTCTCATGTTCTGCATGGTAATCTGCATCTCGAACCTGAAAGTTTCCTGCTGCTTAGCCAGAGCATCTTCAATCATCTTGGTGATTTGCTCTGCACTTATCATAAGCGCCTCGCGGGGTTGTCCCTCGCTGGATACCGTATTATCTGATGCAACTGCGGAGCCAGCATCAGATTCTTCATCTTCTCCGCACTTATCATAAGTGCCTCGCGGGGTTGTCCCTCGCTGGATACCGTATTATCTGATGCAACCGCGGAGCCGGCATCAGATTCTTCATCTTCTGAAGGGCGTCTTGTCCGAACTCTACCATAGGTTGCTCGCTCGATGGTTCCGGACTGCAGATGGGTTCTAGGTCGGGAGGCTCTCAGAATCGACTCGAAATCATCCCGTGCCGATGTCCCCTTACTGGTCATGTTGGTGGTGACCCTCGTAAAGTCTCCGTCTTCAATCATCCTTCTTCTTCGTTGAAAACGCCTAGGTCTGGGTTTTGGCATCTCCGCACTGAGTCTTTCAAAAACTGAAACTCTTTCGGGGACCGCCTTGATGCAGTTGCATTCAGACAATACCGCCCGAATGAGTTTGGAACAGGGGCATTGAATTTCTTGTTCTCGGGGACTCCTCTTCCTGGTTCTATTCGTACCACCAGCACGATAGTACAACTCGTCATTTTGACAGTCGGAGTAACCTATCGTGTGCGGGCACGACTTCTCAGGTATAACACTATCACTATCAGATGATAATGTTTCCATCTGAGGTTGGATCGCCTTCTTTGGGCTTTCAAAAGTTACACGCCTCGAAACGTGCCTTTGTGGGCGCGAGTCTTTAGCGTGCTCTTGGACTTCGATGCGCAAATTGGTGCGCGCAGTTGCCTTGAGCTCTTTGTCATGTTGGAGGTGATAGCGACCCCCAGCGTATTGAGTTGTTCTGGGCTTCTTCATTGGGCCCAAACGCTCGTGAACTGGAACTTTGCCTCTCTCGTCGGGAACTGGACCGAGGCGCTCCAAAACTGGCTTCCTCCTTCGGGATGATTTTGCATGATCTTCCGGAGTGGCCATAGGAATTAATGGCGACTTTGGTGGATTCGCCAGAGGTTGACTTTGCAATGGTTGCTTTCTGGCCTGAGTCGCTACTTCAGACTTCGGCTTCCAGACTTGGTGGGTTGGTGGTGGCTTCTTCGTCACCTCCTTTTGCAGTCTTCTACGGGCTTCATGGACTTTGGCCCGTACCTGCGTTGACATCGCGTGGCGCTTGCGGATACGCTCCTCAAGCGTCGAACGGTTCCGTTTGATGCGGACCCATTCGTTCTTTGGCGGTTGACTTGGTTGGAGGTCGGCAGAACTTCACCCGACGCGAATTTGGCGTCAGCTGGGGTGAGAGCTTCGTTGGCTTTTTCAACATCTTCATACCAACGAGTTTTCCTCCTGGAGGAGAACTTGGACTTCTTGGACTTATGTGGGGAGGTTGACCCGGACGAGGACACGTACTCCTCGAACTTAGCTTGGTCGAACTCATACTCGACCTCCTCCACGACCGGGATTGAGATCCGCGGCTGCGACGTGACGATCTCGGCGGCGAGATCGTTGGCTCCCACTGTGGTCGCCAGATTGTTCGCGGTGAAAATCGTGTCTTTCATTGAATTCATTGTGATCTCAAAATAACAACTTTTTGAGATCACAATGAATTCAATGAAAAACACGATTTTCACCGCGAACAGCTACTACTGAAGATGGTATCCTAAAATTATGTACAAACGAACCTCTGCAATCTATTATGCGTATGTTAAAAAATATAAGGTCTAGAATCTCTTTATTTAGCTCGCCCAATAGAGCTTCCTCCTCCTCTGTCATTGGCTTCAAACTCAACACATCCCAATTGAGAATTTGATTGCCGGGATAAAAATGAGTAACTTTGCCAACTGTATGTACATAATCAGGACTTGAAGGTATATCTATAATAACTTTTTGCTTTTTATTTCCCTTTCTTTCTGTGTATGGGGTCCTCTTCCATTTAGACCTCTTGCTTACCTTCTTGGAGGTGGCCTACCCTTTGTTTGCACATTAGTTGTTAGATCTTCTACAATTTTGTCCACCCGTTGTATAATATTTACAAAATCCTCTTTCTCCTGTGCTTCCAACTCCTCTACAACTTTACTATCAACATGATTGTTATCTGCACATTTTTTTATCTACAATGTCCTTTTCATTATCAATATGATCCTCTTCCCTATCTACATGTTCCTCCTCCACATCTACATTCACCTCAACCTTACTATCTACATTCTCCTTCTCCTTACCTACATACCTCAACCTTACTATCTACATTCTCCTCTTCTCTATCTACATTCTTATCTTTCTTATCTACAATCTTCTCTTCGCTATCTATATGTTCCTCCTCTATATCTACATTCACCTTAACCTTACTATCTACATTCTCCTCAACCTTACTATCTATATTCTCCCCTTCTCTACCAACATGCTTCTCCACACTGCCAACCCCAGATAAACCATCTTTATCCTTCGGCTCATCGTGATAAATGACTTTGTAGTCGTTAACGGATTTTGCTTCCCTAGACAATATTTTTCTAACAAAAACCCTAGCACTGTAGAAATGCGACGAGAAATTTGAAAGTTCGAGAGTTTCGGTGGCTCCTCAACGGTGGAAGAGAGGGGGAAGATGAAGAGGCTAGGGATGGGGTGTAGTAACCTAGTTAAGGCCCATAAAAAGGGTAAGTTCGTAACTTTCACTGGGCTTTTTTTGAAAACCGATATTTTGGGGCCTCGTTACAAATACCGTGTGTATTTAGGGCTTATCCACATGGGATAAAATACAAGAGGCCTCGTCACATGAAGTTTCTACTTTTGGAGCCTGGGCACGTTTTCCCTTGTATGAAACTAGTTTGTTTTCTTTTATGATTTGTGAATTGCTCTCTTATGCTTAAATTTATCATGCTTAAAATAATCACTAAAGAACTAATTGGTAGAAGAAGAATGTGATAATCTATACTTATTTTGAGTGTTTGATAAGTTATGCTTAAAAATTCTAGAATTACTAACTAGTTATTATTCTTTTTATGAATATTAATTTTATTTAGATGATAATTTGATAGGTTATGCTTTTCTTAATTGGGTTGGTAGTTTATGCTTAATAAATCTAAAGTAAAATATAATAAAAAAGAGTAGTTCATAAATCATAAATGAAATTAGCTAGTGGATTCAATTCTAGATTTCTTTCTTATCAACTTGATTTCATCCATCTTACTTGATTTGGTTATTTTCTTATCTTCTTGATTTTATTCTTTTTTAAAGTTTTCTTTATTTCTCCTACTTATTATTCTTTATTTCCTTTTATTTGTCCATTCTTTTTATCCCCTCTTGTTCTACTCTTCTTTTATTTGTAAAAAACTATCCCCTCTTTATATCTCTTCACTTTCGCTCCTAATTATCTACACGTAACTTTAGGATCCAATTTTAGAACTTTTCCTATCCTATACACCTTCCTCGTAGGATCGTCATTGTATCTATGTATAACTTAATTATGCATTTGCAATCTCGAACCTATTTTCACAACACATCAAGTTTTTTGCACTGTTATTGCGGAAGGTGCTTGTAATTAGTATTTTTTTTATTTTCATTCTTTAATTTGTTTGTTTAGTTGTTAGGGAACAAATTTGAAGAAGTAGATTGAAGATTTACTTGAAAAGGTAAGTCCTCTTTCTAGTATTTTTAATTCCACGATTTTAGATAGTTTCTCACAATTAAAGATAATTAGAATATAAAAAATAAAAAAATACAAATATTCACTTATCAACCCTAATAAAATTTACCTCCCACTTGAAACAACTACTAACAAGATAATAAATCTATACTTACTACTTATAAAAGTGAAAACAAGTGTCAAAACTTTTTAATGCCTATTTTACCCCCTTTCAATCATTATAATTTCCCATTTTTAAAAAATCATTTTACTAATTAGCTATTAATATAAATAATAATAATAATAATAATTAAAGAAGATTAATAAATATCCTTACTTATTGCCCTCCATCTTAATCCATGTTTTCTATTAAATTATCACCTCTCCTATTTATAACTTTAGCCAAATCAATTCTCTACCCCCTCTCTCCCCGCTTCTCTCTCTCTCTCTCTCTCTCTCTCTCTCTCTCTCTCTCTCTCTCTCTCTCAATCCAATAATTATCACTAATTGTAGTGCCTATTTAACTCCCCACGTCTCCCAATACGAATTTAATGGAAATATTAAATTTTTAACGTATTTTAATTGTAAAATTTTGCTTGTTGACTAAATTTTGATAGAGAAGAGAAAGTGAATTTCTTCATTATAAGTATCAATTTTTAATCTTTTCTCTTTATGTCTTATCTATATGTATTTTGGACGTAACCATTACAATTAATTTTGATTGTAGGTAATAATTTTCTAATTGATTCCCTTCTTTTTAATGTAGTGCTTGGAAGTGGAATTTGAGGTTGGTGGGAGATTCCATCTATCAAGGTAATTTTTCATTATATTGTTAAAAAAATGGATAATTTTTCATTATATTTCATTAATTTCCTTTTTAGATTCTTATTTTAGTCAAAATTCTCTTGATTTTACTGGAAAGAACAACTTTATGATATCATTTGCAATTTTTAAGGGTTTAGCTAAAAGTTGTAAATACTACACCAAAAAACTCGTGGTCTAGATGTTAAGTAGTATTTTTATTGTTTTTCTTTTTTTGAAGTAAATTCTGCAGATGTGTGATTGACTATTACCTTTTGAAGGTTTAGTGTCTATATTTTATAATCTAGACCCTGAGAATCACACTCTTCACATAGATCTATACATTTCCAAATTCCATGATGTCTACACCTCTTCAAATTTCTTCCCACATAGGAAAATTAGCTTTTAGCTGTCATGAAAATTTATCAAAGAATGTGCATCAATCACTACTTCAGTGATTCAAGTGGGAACGCTTCTTAAGTAATACATCTGATAAGTGTTAATTATCAACTAATAGTCTGCATCCCCTTTACAAATTTGATGTAAATGCTACTTAGTTCTAATATTAAAGCACATCTTAGCAGGCGGTGCTTATTAGTAGTGAATGTGTAAATTGACAAAGAGGAGATTGTAGGTCAAATATAAGGAGGCACAGAAGGCACCCCTTTCACAAAAGGATCAATCTTACAGGTTAAATCCAAATGGAGCCAAATAATGTAACTTTAAGGGATGTGAACTATCAAATCTTTACTTTCTTTGCATCATTTGACTTGCTAGATGAATTTGTTTATGCAATTACTATATTAAAGCGTGAATGCTCATTGATAGATGAGGATTTACTTTAGTTGTTGCACTTAAATCTTTTAGATGCCAGGAAATTTTCTTATGTATTGTTTTTACATATTTATGCATGAATATACAATTAAGAATATGATAATATGATATAATAGATTTTATTGGTCCTAAGTAAGTGTTTCAATATCTGAATTGATGCCAAAATTCTTCTCACCATAAATAACCGAAATGTCTACTCAAACAGAAGTAGAATTTTTAGTTTGATTTCAATATGGATCCTTTATGCTTAAAATTTATGTTGTGTTGTTCATCCCATGATTTATTAAGAGCTTGAAGGCTTTGTTTTGTACTATTTGTAATGGTAGTGATATAGTATATAGTATGAGTAGTGATTTTGACTAAAATTGACTATGGTTTAGGCTAGGGATAAGGATTTGAATATATTTAAAGGAAAGAACTTTCTAAGAGGGAGAATGTAGATCAATATATGACGAGTAATAAACTCAAAAGTTATAGGAAAATTTCTTGAAAAGGATCGTTGAGTGTTTGATCCATCCCCAAAGAACCCTACAATTGCAGTCATCCTTTATTTAGGATATGTAGTAGCCCTGAATTTCATGGCCGTTGGCTAATCTTGTACATAACTTAAATTAAGCTTCGGGTAAACTTCTCAATTCAACTAGCATAAAAATCTAAGTAAATTTAGATAAACTTGATAAACTTTCTTTTTACCAGGGTAACAACGTATTTTGCATTTTTAGTATTCCGACTAGAGCTTTTGTGCTTGAAGAAAAAACTAGATAAATTTGAAAATTGGTTAAAATGGTTTCAGCTAAATGATCTCCATTATACTTTTTCCATCTATCAGACGATAGATATTACAATTAGGAAATTATTTCTTGAATTGTTCATTGAGTCTCACAAGACTTTATGTTTAGACATCAGGGGTTGCTCCTCTTAGAATCATTTCCTTCAATAAATCAGTATCATAAACCTTTGCCTCCACATGAGCCCGTAGAAAGGTATTATATACAAAAGTATATCTATTATATTTTGTTTGCTTAAATTCTTAAGATAATTCATGGCACTAAGTCTCTCGCATCAGTAAATATTCAAATAGCGTATAAATAATCTTAGACCATGATATAGATCTTCTTACCCGAAAACTCAAAATTTTATTCTTTCCCATCTCAAATTTTTATTCTTTCCCATTTCAATAGTCTTCATGCTTCTTTTATTAAACCTGATTTTAAACAACACAATGCAATGTGAGAGCAAGTTTTAGCATTTGGCTTGCATCCATTTGCTTTAATTTCTTTGAGCATTTCAGATACTTTGTCCATAAGTCCATGCCTACAATTCACTAATTTAATTGAATTGAACTATTATGGTCCTTTTACTTCTCCCTGGATTTCATCTCTATTCAAATTTCTTTAGCTCTATGAATGGAGTCTATCCTTCTAAATAATTCAATTTTTTACACAAAGATGTTGGATCTATCATGTATTATCATATTAGTTATCACAAAAGATAAACTTAGTTATTATATTATTCATCTTCAACTTCACACTTGGTTATTTGCTAAAATGTTCACTTCTAGCAGTTAACAGAATTAATGCCTACATTCTTAGCATATAAATACTACTTGCTAATTCACATCACAAAAAAAATTTATGGTTCTATGTGCTTGGTTTGGGTTCATTCTCTGAGAGCTACTGCATAAGATCTTCCACATTAGTTTTTATCATTTATGTTGTCCATTTTAATTAGAAACTTACTTTCTACATTTAATAACCTCCTACTACGATGATCATGATAATCTCATTAACATTCATAATATATTTATTGCACATTCAATGTGGGAATATGAGCAATAATCAATCCAGAATCACTTTGCTATGCTGCATGTAAAAAATACCAAGAGAAAGTTGGGAATATGAGCAATAATCAATCCAGAATCACTTTGCTATGCTGCATGTAAAAAATACCAAGAGAAAGTATCTATTGAAGACAATAAAATTAGCTGAATCACTTTGCTATGCTGCATGTAAAAAATACCAAGAGAAAGTATCTATTGAAGACAATAAAATTAGCTGTAACAAATATAAGAATGAAGGTATGTAATGGAAAAACAAGTAAGTGTGAATGTTATATTAGTAAAAAAAGCATAAAACAAATATAACATGAATATTTTTTCAAAAAAACTTACCCTATGCGATTTGAAGTAAATGATCATATCAAACAAGACATACGTTACTCTTTATAATGAAGCCTAATTTCTAATTGGTTGTACACCTGAACAATATGTGGATTCATTTGATGAAGAAAGAAAGATACTATGACAAAACTACTTCTATAAAAAAGTATTTTGATAAAATAATTAAAATAAAAAACAACTAACCAATAAAAAATATAATACAGAAGAATTTATCACATATGCCAAAAAATGTTGAACTATTGTAATAAAGAATATCTTTTCTCGATAAAAATGAACAGGAAAGATGAGGAGCAAAGAATTGAAGGAAGAATTATTGCTCAAGAAATCTACAAATTAGAAGCTTTCAAACAAATAGAATTTGATGAAGATGTGGATTCTCATGACATAGCATTGAGGCAAAAGAGTATAACATGTCTGGAAAAATATTTGAACGATAGAAAAGACAAGAATAATAAAAATACCAGGATTGAAAGTGAGTGGTATATCATTTAAAGTATTATGTCTAAGAAAATTTATGTTTCCTTTGCTAGCATATTATAAATTTATAAGGATTTATTTGGAGAATAGCAAGTTTTAGACTCATATTGAAAAGGGTTAATTGGAAATAGACCCCTTATAGTATCACCCAATTGTGAATAGACTCCTTGTAGTTTCAGTAATAGACCCTTTGTAGTATTAGCCTAGATGCAAATATGCCCACTCACTAAACTTTTTCCACTCTTTTAAAATTCAAAATAAAAAGCAACTGAGGAATATACTTGCCGATAGAAGTATAGAGGGTCTACCTGTCTCCTTAAACATTTTTAACTCTTTTAAGAGCCAACACCTATTCACTCAGGGAGTCTACTTGTAAAAATAGAACTATTGGGAGTGTCTTTCCAATTGGATGATACTGTATGGGGTCTATTGGCAATTAACCCTATTAATAAATTGTACATTTCAGAACTTATTTACTAAATTGCTTTTTGAAACTAGAGCCACTATCTTAGCCATTGATCTATGTGAAATCTGTGCTTAATATAAGATTGGTTTGCAAAATATTAACTAACATTCAAATGCATCATATCTTATAGTTTCTTAACATGTATCACGTGCAATGCACGTATTGTATAATAGTTCAAACAAATGCTCTTTCTCGCATTTGTTTAATTGTTAACCCTAATTAAAAAACAAAAAAGATTTTCTTTTAAGCATCCTTTGTAGTTGCTTTTAATTTTTTGGGTTGCATTACATATTAGTAGGAATGCACCAAAGTGATTTGAGCATTTTTATTTGAGCATTCACTTAAAAATACTCTTAAGAGCAATACTCCATAATCAAGATAAAGTGAGAGATTCTATCACGTTTTTGTTAGCCTACAAATCACTAATTTCTCACTACAGAAACTCAAGCCTTTAAAACATATTACACGTTGACCCCTAAGGACTTGAGCTCATTATGAAATAAGAAATCCTTAAGTAAATCAGTTTAAGCTTACTTGAATTCATTGGTGTTTAAGGTAATGTTAAGGGGTTGCGTAAAGCGCTTCACAATGAGCAATGTACTTAATTGCTCTTTAGCCTCCGTCTAGTATTGTCCTTACCTCACTATTACTAACTGACCAAGTACAGTTCAATCTTTTCACTTAAAAAGTTTTGATTAGGAGCTCGTGTAGGTGAGTCTATGCTTAATCCTAGAATTAAGAGTGATTGTTTCAAGTAGTTGCTCTTGATTTGTTGTAGCTGATTTTTTTCTTTTATCCTTCTCATTTTTCTCTCAATTATCTTTTAGGGCTTTTAGTTTTTTTCCTTTAAAAAACTTTTATTTTTCTCTTTTTCTTAATTTCCTTTATAGTTAAAAAAATATAAGAAAAAATAATTCCAAATGAATTCTTTTTGGTGTATGCAAGTTTGGATTAGGAATAACACCAATCGATTAATCGGTGTTGAACCAAATTTTAAAACCAAAGAAATAGTAAATCCTAATCCGCATGTTCTTTATGATGTGTTATCCAACTAGGAATACAATCTCTTCTTGCATTAGGCTACCCGATGTCAATGGAGCTAATTTAAGCTTAGACCGCACTTCATAAACAAGTTTCAAAAATTTTAGGAAATGAAACCGAAGATGTTGATATTTTTATCTGTGAGTTTGAGAAAGTTTGTCTCATGATTAAAATTAAGGAACTATCTAAGGATTCAATTAAGTTTAGATTTATCCTATTTTTTCTTAAAGACAAAGCAAAGAAATTATTGTATAGCTTACATAAAAATTCTATTTCAATTTGGGATAAATTCATTACCATTTTTCTTGAAAAAAGTTTTCTGTAAAATGGTCAAGCTTAGAAACAACATTCAAAATTTCAAGATAGTCCTAGGAGAGCTATTCTGGAAGTATTTTAATAGGCTTGAGGATCTTCTTATCCAATTCGTCACTATAATCCAGAAAAGTAGTGATTACGCCATATCATTTATGAAAGATTGAATTATTCTTTAAAGACTCATTAGAATCTATGTTTCAAGAGGATTTCATAAAGAAAAATACTTCGAAATGCTAGAGAGTTTATCTGAAAAAACCATCCAGTTAGAACACTGTGATGAAAGGGTTTCATCAGCTCTCCCAACCAAATCCACAATGGTATTTTACATGAGGCAAACATAGTCTTTGAAGCGAAGATGACTATAATCATGTAACGGGACATAAAAGTATACTTCTTTTGGTCAACAAAATAAATTTTATTCAATTCCCAATTATGAAAATTAAGTACATCGAAGCATCCATAACAAAGTCCAGGATACAACTAACAAGAAGAATTACAATTGTTCAATTTTTTCTCTTATGTAAGAGGGAACTCTATCATTCAAAACTTTTGAGAGGATGGATATATTTATACTGCAGAATAGGACCTCAGGAACTCTGGCTTTTTGCTGGAAAATTCTCAGATTTCTTTCTTTCCATATTGCACACACCGTTGCAGACAAAGCCAGACTCTTCAATTTCTTCATAAATCCGACTCCCTTCAGCCTGGTGCTATACCAATCAATGATATGATCCCAACTACACGATCTCCAGTTGTATTTTGGCCAAATCATCACATTATTCCACACCATGGCAGAATATTGACATTCAAATAGGAGATACCGACAGGTTTCTCTTTGCTAGTTAGAAAACAAGACACATAAATTTATGACAAGCATTCTCATACGACATAATCTGTCTTGTGTTAACAGTCTTGCATTAATGGCTAGCCATAATATAAAAGAATGCTTGGGGTAATGCCAACTATCCTTAACTATATCCGACCAAGACATCTGAGGAGTTTGTTGAATAATCTCTCTGTAGATAGAAGATATTATAACTTTGTCCCCAGAATAACATCTGTTAATAGCATTTTGAAGATTGACAACACTTCCAAATTTACCAATGAGAATATCTATCACTTTTAGGAGTTGTTCCACATCCATGAATTATTCACCCTTGCTCGAACTTGCCAGATATTGTGATGCTGCAAATAATTTCTATGAACCTATTTTATCCATAATAGGTCTTTCTTTAGATGAATCAACCATAAGAGTTTAATGGCAGCTGCAAAGTTCTAATTTTTTGCCGAGAAGACCCTAAGACCACCCTGTTTATTGTCTTTACATATTGTCTCCCAAGAAACCAAGTGCATTTTATGATTATAAAGGAAATCAGAGCATAATCTGTCAAAATTTTTCAAGATTTTAATAGGTAGAATGTAGTTGTAGGTCCAGAAGATTTGAACACCCAAAATGACTGACTTAATCAGTTGCAACCTACCAGCATAAGATAGATTTTTTTCTCTTTTGCCAACTCTAAAATTGATCTATGATTTTATTGATCAGAGGGGAGCAATCCAAGCAAGACAACCTTTTTGAAATTAATGGCATTCCCAAATACCTCACTAGCATTACCCCCTCAGAGAACTCAGAAGCATGCAAATCTGGTGCTTCAAACTTTCATCAATGCTGCTCATGTATGCAGATCATTTATTGGGATTAATTTCTAAACCTGAAACCTAGCTAAACTCTTGGAAACATCCATATAATCTTGCTACTGAGTACATGTCAGCTTTTCCAAACAAAAGCAAGTCATCAGCAAAGAACAAATAAGTGATTTTTAAATTGGAGCATTTGGGGTGATACCTGAATAATCTGTCAGCTTTAAGAGTGTTTAACTTTCTTGATAAGTATTTCATCCCAAGAACAAAAAGATAGAGGGAGAAGGGATATCCTTGCCTCAAGCCTCTAGCTCCCTTGAAATATCTATGAAGTGCAATATTCAAAGATAAGGAAACTTTTCTAGTGGTACCACATTATCATTCTATTAGGAAAGCTCAAGCCAATTAACATGGATTTAATAAAACCCAGCTTATTGTATCGAAATTTTTTCTCAAATCAATACTAAGAGTAGCTCTTGGTGAAGTAAGCTTTCTACCATAATGCTTAATAAGTTCATGTGCTAATAATATGTTGCTTGAAATATTCATATCTCTAACAAAAGCACTTTGGCCATCACCAATTAACAAACCCATAACCTCTTGAATTCTACTAACAATAATTGTAGAAATGATTTTGCAAAAACAGTTACAACAAGAGATTTGCCTATAATCTATAGGTGATTTAGGATTGAAGATCTTTGGCACCAAGGTAATAGATGTAGAGTTAAAAGTTCCAAGAAGTTTACCAGAGCTGAAGAATTCCTCTATTGCTAAATAAACATCCTCACCAATCACATTCCAATCAGCTTTGAAAAAGAATGCATTGTATCCATCAGGGCTAGGGGCTTTCTCACCTGGCATAGAGAAAATAGCTTTCTTGATCTCTTCTCTTGTTACTAGAAGAATCAGAAAACTACTTTGAGTTGGAGAGAGAACAGGTCCATTTGATATCACCTCAAGATCAGGAATTAAAGTAGGAGCTGCAACACCCAAAAGTTTCTCATAATACTCAGTGAATTCTACAATTATACCAGAAATATCTGTAATCATTTCACTGTTCTTAGTGTATAATGATAACACTCTATTGTGGTGTCTCTTAGCCTTCATAATAAAGTTAAAGAATTGGGAACATTTGTCTCCATGTAAAACCCATCTAATGTTGGCCTTTTGCCTATAAAATGGAGTTTCATAATCTACCAACCTGGTGTATTTGTTTAAGTATTCTTTCTCCTTAAAAATTTGCGCTTGATTTAAGAGATCATTATTCAGCTGGTTTTGAATGTTAAAAAGTCCACTTTTGGCTCTTAACACTTGCTCACTTATGTTCATAAAATGTTGCTTGTTTAATTCTTTCAGAGTATGCTTAAGTTTTTTGAGCTTTGTATGAAGCCTATACATGTGAAAACCTCTGATATCTTGTTCCCATATAGCTTTGACAACTGTTGTAAAATTAGGATGATTTATCCATATACTGAAAATTGTGAATGGTTTTTTCCCTCCAAAATCCTCTTCCCCTATTGGTAAAAGAGCAAGGGAATGATTAGAGTAATTGGGTACCAGGAAATCCTCTTGACTAGATGTATAATTCTGAATCCATTCTTCATTGACTAAAACTCTATCAAGCCTACTCCAAATTCTTGAAATAGCCTCTTGTTTATTATTCCAGGTGAAATAGCAACCAATAGACTTAAGATGAGTCAGTTGGCATGAAGAGATAAAGTTTTTAAAGTCTTCAATTTGAATCAGAAACAAGAGCACCCCCCAATTTTTTCTCATTACTGATTATAGCATTGAAATCACCCCCTATAATCTAGGGACAAGTAACACTTTGATTGAGAGATAGCAAATCATGCCAGAGCACTTTCCTAACTTCAAGATTATTTAGTGCGTAAACCACAGTAATAAGGCATAAAAATTTGTCATCCTTTGATACTACATGACATGATATGAATTGTTCCGAGGATGAGATGCATTGGACTGTGAGAATTTCACAATCACAACTGGGTTTTCTCAACATTATCAAATTCAAGACTGTGAGAATTTCACTATTGTTGGTCCTGCAGTCCGATATTTAGGACCGCCATACTCCAACGCCTTAAGAGCTTAAACTGTGGAGACTCCAGCAAACGTACGAGTATAAACTGTGTCAATCGCCGGTCAACTCGTTACAACTAAAATCAACGCCGGACAACACGTTACAGTAAAGGTCGATGTCGGTCAACGCATCAGCAATTTCACCAAAATAAGGCAAAAGATGATTCCAAGGAGTTCAATTACAATCAGAATTCCCGACGAAGATGATCAGTTCAAAGTCAACTCAACGATAAGAGCTAAATTCAGAAACTTACACATCAGCTTCAATCCAAGATTTCGACAACGGTCAGATGATAAACGCAGCACCGGAAGAACTTTATTTATTCGACAAAACACCGAATAGACTAAAGGCTGAAGAAGTTAAGAATTGAAGCAGTTTACAAGTCCTTTCACACCGACTGAAGGTTGGGACTATCATATCCAAAGCATTCCAGACTCCTCTATAAAAGAATGATTCTGAAATACTTTGGAGGGGGTATCTGTAGGCGTCGAAAAATGCTTATAGGTATCCACACACAGCTCGAGACGGAGAGAAGATGACGAACGTTGTTATCCGAATTATCTGACGCCGACCAATGCATGAAACAAAACGACCAACGCTAGATGGCCCGCGTGCTCACCGGCCACCACCAAGTGGCCAACACATTCACCATTCACCTCCAACTTAACAAAATTTATGATGCAAGTCGGTGAAGCGTACAAGTCAATGTAACACACGAAATGGCAAAAGACAACGCAGCTAGGAGTTGTGTTCAACCAAAAGGGGCGAAACACCATGTGTGACTCGCACATATAATGTGTGGCCCGGCTATTGGAAGTTGTAGGTCTTTTCGTCAGCTTTCCAACACATCTTGAATCACCTCATTCTGAGATCGGACGAGAGAGTTAGAGCCAAAACTCCCGAGGTAGTACGAACTGGCTCGGTGACTCGCACCCATGCGAGTCACCAAATGGTGGCTCGCACAAAAAGTGATATTTCGGCCATGTTGTGATTTGATTCTGAAGAAACTCAAAACACAAAAGTTGTAGGTCTTTTCATCAGATTTCCAATGCATCTTGAATCATCTTATTCCGAGATCGGACGAGAGAGTTAGAGCCAAAACACCCGAGATAGTACGAACTGGCTCACATGGCTGCGAGCCACCTGGCCGAGCCACCCAAATCTGGGCCCAGATCTGAGCCCAGATCTGGTTTGAAGAGCCTATAAATAGACCCCTAGGCTCATTGTTTGAAGAGGTGAGATTTTTTGGAGGCGAAGCCCTGCTGGATTGAAGACTCAGATATAAAAAAGATTCAAGCTTTAGGACTTCGAGGACTTGCCTTTGATCCTCAGATCTCAGATCTCAGATCTACGCAGGCGTACTCCGGATCAAAGCTTGCCTTTGATCACGAGATTTGGGCGATTGTTTCCTTGGTGAACCAATCCCCCCGGCTATTATTTCCTTGGTGAAATAATACCCGTCGTACTGCGTAGATCCGACCGGATCTAGATCTCACGGTGGTTCACGGATAAACCCCGGCGCAGGCAAAGAACCCACAAAGCGAGCGACCGCAAAACAGGAGCTCGCGATTTAAACCCCGGCGCAGGCAAAGAACCCACAAAGCGAGCGACCGCAAAACAGGAGCTCGCGATTTGTTCAAACTAGCCGTTATGAGCTTATCGGTCGACTGATCAGTCGAACGATGACCTCATCAGTCAACTGATCACTCGACTAAAAAGAAACATAGGCTTTTTGATGATTCTAGGTATTTTCATCAGTCGACTGAATACATGTATCAGTCGACTGATAACACTGTATCAGCCTGATTTGAATAGTAAAAACCAACTTTGAATTACCTTAAAAATAGTAAATAAATTCCAAAAAATATAAAACTTTAGAAAATTATTGTAAACATGTAAATGAACATGTTACAAAAAGATTTTTTGGAATTGCACTTCTAAATAGTGAAAACTTATCATTTTACAAAAATGTTCAAAACATGCAAACATAATATACTTGAAATGTAATGTTTTGACATAAACCATGTTTTGAAATTTTGTAAAATAATTTTATAGACTTAATACACTATGTATAAAGTTATGTTGGAGTCTATAAACTAATAAAATAATATTTTATCAAAAACACCTATATTTTGATTAAATCACCAAATACGTGTGTGTGAATAATATGAGCTTAAAGTATTAACACACAAGTATTAACATGTACTAAAAATACTATAAACTATATACCAAAGCTTGTGATCTTCAACGAAGCTCGTGGATGAAGCTTAAACTTGAATCTTTAACTTGAATTGCATTGCTTCACTCCACTATTCTGCCAACCTCTATTGGATATGATCGTGAATAATTGATTTTATCCATCCTCCAACATATTATTTGTCTACAATAAATAAGAAAACACAAACACTAGACAAACAATATTAGAAGTAAATTGTTTAATAATCATCATCAAAACAAAAGGACCCAACACTTTTCCTAGGCTTGATAGGCAGCTGCTAGCTGGTGCCTCGAAATCTCCTCCCTAGATCTCACCCGCAGATCTCGTTAGGAAGGGGATTCGTCTAACAATCTCAACCAAAGATCTCAGCTCTTGATTCAGTTTCTCTCGCCTATATATATCGCGTCACCATGCAAAGAGCCTTTTCTTCTTCTGATAATTTAAGTTATCAAATTCCTTCATCTCCAAAATTTTGTGCTTTTCTTCTTCGAGTGCTTCCCAGTTGAATCAATGGCCCCTAAAACCGTTGTGAACTAAGGCAAGGGCAAAGGAGTTGTTGGTTCTTCAGATGATCCTGCGGTTCCGTCCACTTTCTTAGGTAATAGATTTGAACACAAGATCTACATTTTAACACAGATGAACCCTGTTTATTCCAGACCTAGGTTTCTTGAAGGAGATGAATAATTCCTCTCTTTCTGGGATGAAATCTACTTGAAAGACAAAGTCTTTTGAACCGATGACGTTCGTTGTCTTGACATATCTGGGTTTTTTTTGACGAATTTCGTTTGTCGATTGAACTTCATATGTCCAATTGTTTTGGCTATTCTGATGAGGTTCATCCTCAATGTGTGTCAAATGAGCTTTTATTTGACCAACGAACCTCATCTTCACTGATGACGTTCGTTAAAACGACAAACTTTGTCTTCACTGACGAGGTTCATCCAGCACACAAGGCTAACAAGACTCGAGGTTCGTTGTTAGACTAAGTTTGTCTATTAATGAAGTTCGAGGTTCGTCTATTTAACGAGGTTCATTATTAGACGAGGTTTGTTTATTGGAGTGACCTTCGTGTTCTTAGACAACGACTCATTCTTTTAGCTAACTTCATTTGTCTTTTGTGCAGTTATATATCCATCCGTTTCAATTCCTCAACAAGGTGCCTTCGGAGCAGATGGTACCCAAGCTATGGAGTATGATTTCTATTACTCCTCTCTGGAGCGTATCCCTATGTTCAAGGATCGAGAACAAGAAGAACTTGAACTTCTCTCTGAGCCTTCAATCCCTACTTTTAGGTGCTTGATCACGGACGCCCCTCTAGAATCAGTTGGTCGAGATCACGTCGTGAAGCCTGCTTTTCTATTTGGAGACTCCTTAGAGGATCCAATTCAATTGGAATTGGGCAATTGTCGATGGCTTAGGACCGTGAACGAGCGCAACATGTTTTTGCCTATGATGGAACATGACTGTTCTCTCACCACCTTAAGGATTGTTTCTGCTCCTATAAAGATAGATTGGGATTTGACTCCAAAACAGGATGGAGTAGTATGTGGATATTTCTCTAGGAGTGGAGCCAAGATAGACAATAGCAGTTGTTACATAACTGAACTGCACATGAGGTTATTTCAAAGAGAATTGTTCGTCGGCGAGATAGCTGAGGAAGCTAATACCTTTGGCCGAGCATTCTCTAACTTAAAGGGGAAATTCCCGAATAAGGACTTTAGTATTCCTAGTTGGTCCTGTTGGAGTCCTACCTAGTGGTGGCCTCATGTCACCGAGTGCATCTTGCAGGAGAATCAAGAGGACCTGCAGAGATTTGGACTTTACGCACCCGTTAGGGCAACACAACTGGGTTTAAGAACTAACTCTCATCAATTCTTCGGTGTGTTGGAGTTATATAATCTTGACACTCGTACCTTCTTCACTCCAAACGGTGAATTAGGGACCCCTCTCCACGAGATGGTTGAAGTCTCTTGGTTACTATATGAAAGACATCCTTATGAGGAATATGTCTCAGGATATAAGAAGTTGACCGATTTAGAAAATGAATACCTTCAAGTGGTTAAAACCTATTAGGAAGTAATGTGCCACTACTTCATTTGTCTGAATGTAGAAGGATGGACTGATAAGAAAGGTGAGAAGCTCCATAGTCACAACATTTGGGCGCATTATCTCTTTCTAGGTTTGAATTACAAGAACGATCCTATAGTACCATTGGGCCCTTGGGGCCGGTGAACTATCTCGACGTATACTTGCCAACCTACCCATGTCCTATGTGACCTCCTCGATGAGCATGGTTACCCAGTAGGAACAACATTTGATAGTTACTTTTACCAATGTGGAGAGCCGATTTCTTCTAAGGCCTTATTGGTAGGGTATCTCATGTTAAAGCTCAGGCAGGTCGTTGTTCCCTCCAGCAGCTTCGATGCATTACTGATAGATGTAATATTTATGGTTGTTTGTTTA